TGGTGGTGGTGGTGGGGGAGGTGGTGGTGGTGGTGGGGGAGGTGGCGACTTTACTGGTTGTACTGTTGAACAGAAGGCAGTCAAAGATGGTGGAAGTGGAGGGGGAGGTGGCGGTGGTGGTGTTAACATTGCAGGTGACTCAAATGTCTCAGATTTTTCAACTTTGTTAGAAATCAATGCCAAAGTGTCTTTGTCACTAGAGCAATCAGACAGATCTGTAATCTCCTCATTCAGGCAACACTGCACAGCTTTGTTTTGAAGTACCTTAACTTTCTTTTTTTTAGTGACATAGTTGGAAAGAAGTTTCTTTTTTTCTGTGTTAACTGCACCATCATCTTCTACACTCATTGAATCACTGTCATAATTTTCACACTCTGCTGCATCACTTAATTCCTTAACAGGAGTTGGCTGAACCCTTGAATTATTGATCAGATTACGGGCAGCTTTGGCAGAAGTTTCCTCTAGTGCTGCCCACACACCATCACTGTAAAAATTCATACTCAAATATTTTTCAAAATATAAGAACAGTTCTATCAGTGTTATTCTGTATATGACATATGTATGTTCACAGATGAGAAGAAACCAATGAACTTACTTTCTAGAATCTGATGGATCCAGCTGCATTAGGTTAAGCAGCAAAGCATGCAAACACATTGAATGAGGCGAATCAGCCAACTATGTGGACAATAAGAATAGATTAAGTTAAGTGTACACAGAGAAACTTACAAGCAAACTAGCAAAAATATAAAACAAAATAAAATTTTAAAAAATTGAAGAAAAGAAAAAATGTAAAAAAACGAGTGAGAAATTAATACTGAATATGGAAAAGAAATTTAAAGTAATTACCTTGCAAAAGAGGTTGTCAAATACATTCTGGGTAGACAGTTGTTCTGGTCCTAAGAGGTCTTCATCTGCTTGTTGGTTCTTTTCAAATACTTGCAACTGAATCCGAACTTTTTCATCTCTATCAGCATGCAAAGTTTCTAATTGGGAAGTTAGTCCCAGACCTAATAAAAACAGACAACAAATTAAATTTGGATTTAGGAGTCTGAGATATCCAAATATATATTGTTCTCTCATAATATAGTGAAGCCACCATAATGGAATGAAAACAAATATATACAGTAATCTCGCGATTATCCCACAAAACCGAGACTCCCGTTCAACCCAGGCAGACATCAGAAAAGCAACAACAACAAAAATTATCTATCTTTATACGAACACTGAAGTGTGAAAATTAGGGCAATATTACTATGCTATGTGTTCAGGGGGGAATCCCCTCACAAATTCTTGTTATTTCTGACATTGAGCTTCTGATTGGATAACAGGACCTCCTGTCCTAACTATCCATGAGACAAGTTTTTTTTTATTGGACAATAATAACAACAACAACAACAACAACAACAACAACAA